CTGCTGAGACAAAGCTTTGCAGAAATGTTTGAGTTAAAATAATACTAATGGCTAGCTAATACCAACTTTTGGCTTACTGTTATATACTAGCATTTCTACACTGAGTCTCACAAACATTGATAAAGACCAAATGAGCTGCAACGTCTTCCAGTGTGCCAAATTTTTCATTTCACACTGATATTTTCCAGCTTCAGCACATGAATTTACAGCTAGGACTTCTTTGTCTGTTTAGGGTATAATGAACTGCTCTAAAATTATGTCAGAAATAATACAACCTCAACATGAACCCTCATAAACCCTCATAAAGGAAAGGGGGCAGCCATCTGCCGTGACCAGTTGGGTGTGGTGAGATGGAGAAAGGACAAAAGATGTATGAGACGGTCAGAGTGCAAACTGGTGTGTAAACCCATAATGAGTGAAAAAATAAAGCAAATCAATTCTGTATTTAACAGAGAACCAATGAATAGAGTCTAACAGGAGAGAAATATGCTCTCTCTTTTTAGTCCCTTAGTACTCTCACTGAGCTGAAGGCTTTTTAGAAAGCTTTTAGAACAACCTGATAATAATGAATTACAATACTCAAGCTTTAAAGATATTGCACAAATGCAAGGCAGTATAACATATTTTTTTAATATGTGCATTGAAGGACATATTTTGTCAAAATGAATCAAAAATGATTCCTCACAGTGTTACTCAGGGCTATGGTAATGTCATCCAAAGTAAGTATCTAGTTAGTCGCCACATTACTAATATATTTTTCTAATATTTTTTGGGCTAAGTACAATGACTTCAGTTTTATCTGAATTTAAAAGCAGGAAATTAGAAGCCATCCAGGTCTTTGTCTTTAACTAACTGGTGTATGTCATCAGCTTCATAAAGGTGAGTGTCATCAGCATACCAATGAACATGTATGGTATTTCTTCTAATAATAATCCCTAACAGAAATATGTATACTCTACGTATTATTAGTCCCAGCACAGAACCTGTGGAATTCCTTAATAAACCTTAGTTTCTTAGTTAATCTCCAGATCAAGACCAGGTGACCAGGAGTAGGCACAAACCCACCCTCAGGGGTCACTATACTGCTAGTCCCGAGCCCAGATAAATTGAAAGATTGAGTCAGAAAGGGCATCTGGCATGAAATCTGCCCCAGATCAAATATGTGGAGCCACTACTGTAGCAGCCCCATGGGAAATAAGAGAGAAGAAGAAGTAGCATTGATTATTTAAACAGGTGTGACAAAAGATAATGTAATGGGTAAGAGAGTTCACTGAGAGTGCATATGTGAATGGACTATAATTGCTCCCTGTACAACTTTGCCCTGTTAGTACTAATTGGTTATGTTATTTGGAATAAATTGTTTGCTATGTCCAAACTGGCTTTCAGTACTCCAGCGCACTGCTTGTGAAGGCAGGAGAGAAAAGACCAGAAAGATTATGTGGTGTGAGTTCTCACGTACAAGTAACTAAAAAGTTGTCATAGAGGGTGTGATATTTTGCACTATCATTGACAAAGCTGCAAACTGTAGCTGCTTGAGATGGAGTTTTGTTTGTGACTCCCTAATATGCAGCCACTTTTAACCCACTCAAAACTCACTTAAAAGTATGTATGTCTGCGAGCTGTTCAGCCATTAATGAATCTCCCTTTAAATTACTTGCTTCATGTTTTTCAAAGTCAAAAGGGAAGCTAAAAAATTGGATATATATTTTCTTGGGACTGGGACAGAATGCTAATGTTATCTCATGAAGGTATAAAGGAAATACATAATGTCAATGTTGCTTTGACTTGTTCCATGTCTGTAATCAAAGGTAGACACAAGAGTTATGACACAATAAAAGATGCAATTACGTAAAAAAATACAACAACAAAAGATACATATTTACACAGGTCTCGTTTATGGTAACGTTCCCAATTACTTATCACATCATGGATCTATAATTATAAATAAACTAGAGAAACTTTTTTTTTTTACTGAATGGATAAAAATGGGCAGAAATTGGAATCTTTGTTTCGACTTGTCCTGGTATGAGTCAACCATTTTTCCTTTTCTTTCCTCATTATTTCTTTAACAGTGATGAAGAGTTTCAGGGTGTGTATGTCATGTGGGGACAGACAGCTGGTTATAATCTACAGTGTTCGAACATTTATTTTTAATTTTATTGCTTTGGGTAGACAGCACACCAACCTGACTACACACACACAAACACATAACATGGTAACAACAACTCCCCTAGTCTTGGCAGCAGATGCCAGCCTGACCAGATGAACTGTTATTGATGGAGGAATGTATCATCCTCCCTCCCACTGTCTCTGACACACTACATTGATGAAGTATGCTGGTGCCCAGAAGTACAGCCACAGTGTGAGAGATACCAGTTCATATATTGAGTCCCACATTTTGCAAGGAAATAAAAGAAGATACTTTATCCACCAATACAGTAGCCAGTTACCTCAAATATGATATGTGAACATTAGAATATATCTCATATGAAAAATGCAAAACACATTGTGTGCCAAGTAAATTTTAGCGCTCTTCTTGTAGCTGACGACATTATCTACTTTCACATCGAGGGAACACATTTTAAAGCTAATCTGTCTCTCAGGGTACATACTGTAGTCCACTAAGATCGATTTATATATAGCTGGATATTGTCTTTCATTTTCCCCTCGTTATTAAAGACTAATGTACTTTTCTGGTTTGAGATTAGAAGAGTCTGATTATTGCATTCACAGAACTAAACATACAGCTTATAAAAACCCTTTGTTACAATGTTTTAGATTTCAGGATTGAGAATTGGCTTTATTGTGTCTCCCATTATTCTCCCCTGCATGTGTTTCATAAAGTATAGTTAACAAAAGACAAGGTAGTGGCATCAATGTGCTGTAATTACAGAGGGAGGCGGACTGTGGGGCAGACTGCCATCTACTGGATTAAATGCGACCCCCCCCCCCCCTCGCCCTCTATGCCTTACCCCAGCCAGTCCTACCTTTTCTCATTCTCACTCCCACTCAAAAAGGCAGTTGATGGAGTTTATACACACGCAATTTGGTATCACCAGATGCATGCAACTATGTATGAGACACAAAACCTCTGAATAAATGTGTCCCCATTTTAGTATACAGTGTGACTTCCTTTGTCCAGCATAACACAGTCTACATCTATCCATTTATTTGCTATTTTGTGTAACCATTTGTTCACCCTTCAGGGTCACTGCTAACTTTATGCATCTTTCAGTACTTTTTCAGTTCAATCCTGGACCAGCAGTAAATGAACTGAAGTCACTGTGGATGTGAACCAAGGTCATAGTCTCTACTACCATCTGAAACTGCACGAGATGACGAAACATCATGCAGGAAGTCCATTAAATTAACTACAAGGATAAATAAATACTGTGCTTAACTAAAAGATTAACTCAGTGCAAATCTTGCAGCCCATTGTTTTCCTTCTAGTCAGCGATAAGTTCTGTTTACTTCATTTAAAATAATGAGAATCAGTTCATTTGCCCACACGTTAGCCTAAGTTAAACAAGTAAACAGGTGCGGGTCACTCCATGTTTTTATTATAAGTAGATATATAGTTTGCATATAGTTTTCCAAAACACGATTGGTCCCATCTAATCGCTCAGATTAATATATATGTGGCACAACATAGACAAACTTCAAGAGTAAAGTATGTAAAGTGTGTGTGTTTATGTCTGTGTGGTGGGGGTGGGTACAAAGAATGCACACAGGATATACTTTGCACAAAAAATTGTACGTGTGAGATGCATTTAAACCAAGTCAGCTAAACAACAGTGGTTTATATAGACTGCTGTAAACAATTCAATCATCAACATGACTCTCACTGTGATCTGTCACGCGCAGTGAGGATCTCTAAGCAGGAAGCTTTTATATGGTAATGAAATCGATTGGACCGATGCGCGCACCAATCAGAAGCGTTTGATTTATGTTTAAGGGACTGTTGAGAGGAGCAGTCGCTTGGCAACCGCTTAATGAAATGTATGAACTGTGGCTGTTAAAATAGCGACCTCCGAACCTATCAAGGAAATAAAGCTTTAAAGGGCCATGGATTTTTTTAAAGCAGTAAGTGCATGTTAATCACAAAACTCGGTTTACTGACGTCTCGTCGAAAAAGAAGAAGTATTAGAGATAAATGTGGCAGACAATTCGAATGTCGTGATTCAAATTTCATCGAGAGCTATTGTCCTGTTTTTCACAAGAACCTTTGACGTTTTCGCTGCCTCGTGGTATCATTAGTTCTCAATGGGAATGTTAAAGCTTCGCCTAGTCGCTAGGCAATGCCTGAAGCGCAGTCAAAGGCTATATGAACAAACAATGGTTGAGCACCGCTCTTTCTGGGCTCAGAAAAGACGTGACAGCGGTAACCAATGAAAAAAACGTCAGTCTCAGCAAGTCCTACATCTCAGATTTCGTCTTGAAAGATGAAAGATCAAAACAGCGAATGCATACCGATCCAGTTAACCTGTCTATCTTCAGTATAGTTGATCCTTTCAGTGAACATTAACTATAAAGTAATGAAGGTGGCTGCTTAAAATGTCATTTGTTACAAGAAACAGATCAGAGAATACTGAAATTAAGTCTAGTTCTACCACCCCCTCATCTTCAGTTACTTTCGAAAAAAAAAGTTAGTTTGCATGAAAGCAGGATCATAATAAATATTAGGATCGATATTCTTGCAGTACAGTCTGTTTGATCTCTAAATCTGAAGAAATGAAAATGGGATGGATGTGACCGACTGTTTCTGTGGAAACCAACTTTCCCCTGCCTACACGAGCCTCGTTCATCCTCAACTACACAGCTCACAGTCTGGATGTGTTTGCTGACAGAATATAGATTAGACAGCTCAGATCATTACATCCTAAGAGCTGATAACGTGTATCCAAACTCTTATGGTAAACAGCACAGCGGTGGAGATTATATCACAGATGACATTGAAGGCTTCTTTCAATAAAAGTACACTTAAAATATGTTTAACTTACAACAATTGGTAACAGCGAAACTGTTTGCCACTTCCAAATTGTCAATATGAGGCGTCAGTCTGAATTCCGAGGTGCCAAACTGAACCATTCCTATCCGAAACGCGCTGTATTCTTGATCCGCGCCCCTTGGAAAAAGTCCCCCTGTAATAAATACAAATAATTTTTTTACACTAGTAAATATTTGATTAATACAACATATTTAGAACCAATTTCACAGGTTTTTGCGCACAAAAATGTTTGTAGCTAACTGGCTTTTTCGGTTGAACTAGTGGGTGCTTACCAATCTGAACACTGGGCGAGCCTCCAAGCGCGCATCCCCATAAAACCAGGAGAAGTGAAACGAATAAATTCACTATCATTTCCATGTCGACAGTTTAGTTGTCCACATCCACTAAGGTATTCTGATATTCCTCTGTTTCTCCAGAGATATTAGATCCCAGACATATTGGACACCTTCAGTCTTGGGGAGAAAAAAAAATAGGAAAGGACCGTTTTCTGCAGGTGGCTAGCAGTGAAAGGACACCGGCAGTGAAGGAATGGTCGCCTGCAACGTAGGTTTGCCGTTTCTTCTTCCGCTCCTCCTCGTCGCTCCCCTCCTGCCGCCAGCTGATACCTCCTCTAACGCACAGGCACACTGCGCGTCTCCGCTCGGCGAGCAGGAGATCTTCTCAGCATCACACCCACAAGTGAGGAATGTTAATGAGAAGGCGGACAGAGACGGAAAAAGCCGAGAATGAGCCACTTGGCGACAAGAGAGCACACAACACTTTGAAAAAGCGCTTCTTCTAAACAATGTAATCTTCTCTTTTTCCTAACATTGCAAAAATAAGAAGTTACATTTACAAATATGCTTTATTCACAACATTCGAGAGTTATAAGTGACACTTTATTTTCGTTTCCTGATGTACGTTTCAACTTTCCTTTGTTAGTGTCCCAATTCATTTTAAAGTCTGTCCACTTTTCAGCATCGTTGCCACCAAGTTTATGTTAAATGAACTTTCAATAAACCAACAAACAGACTTCCAGTATAAAAGCAGATTTTAGTACAATTTCCATACACTCATATGCTTTTTTACATTAGATCATCACATCTACTTTCTCCACACACATATATGTTTAAAGTGTGCATTTTGGGCATTTTACTGCTATTTTCATAACCACTTTAACTCAAGTGCATATAAACATAAACATAAACATAACATTAAGATATTCAGTTTACAATAAGAAAAAGGAAACAAAGAAGTTGTAATTTTGTGATGTTATCTCGAAAAGGGCTACTGCTGGACTCAAAACAACTACAAACATCTAAACATTTAAACCTTCTCCAAAACTAAACATCTTTTCAGTCAATATCAGCAAAACCACTGATTGATTTTTCTGTTAATTAGGTAATCAGTTAATCTGTGTTCACTGTGGGAATTTTCATTAAGTGATCACAAAGAAAGATATCTCTTCAGACCACTGTAGTACTTAGCTCCAGCTAGTTCCAGCAATCACTGACGATATCCAAAAGGCATGAGAAATATGGATGTGACAATATATTTTAGATTTTAAGACTATACAAGTGTACTTTATGTAGTTATACAAAAGGATTTATATTAACATTAGTAAGGGTTACAAAAGTCTACATGTAGTTTATCCAATATAGACCTTTAATACATATTTAGAGGACACTGTTTTGACTGTATTTGTCGGTCACTGTTTTGAATGACAAATATCACATATGTATATTAGACAGCTTGGATTAAGACATTCGAATATAGTTGGTCACTTAAAAAAACAAGCCTCATCTACAGCATGTACATGGCCAACATTTCTTACTGAGAAAACTCATCAAGTGCATCAGCTGGAGGCCATCACTCATGCCCTCCAGGAATAACCATCAAATGAATCTCCTCTTTAACTTTGATCTAGTGCTTATCTCCACCTTCTGCATACAAATCTGATGCAAATATATTCCTGGTCTTGGGTGCCATTATGAATGGGGTTAAATGGAGGAGAGCTTGCCTTGCAGCCAGCAGGAAATAAGTAGCAATCCTGTCACCTGCTTTTATGATATGCATGTCTCAACCTGCACAGACAGATGTATATTAATCATTGGCAATGCAAGATAGCAGTCTAGGAGCAAACTAATGAGGCTGAGAGTGAATTAGAGCTGAGGGCAGGGGCAGTTATGAGCAACAAATTGGCAGATTTCAGCACCATGGACAGCACATAACATGTATACTGTCTCCTGTTGTGAGAAGTCTTTAGGTGAATGAGAACACGTAGGGGTGGTAAAGATCCAAGATACTATAAGAAAAAACATCTTTTGTTTTGTTTTGTTTTTTGTCCATGATTCTAATTGATTATCACAACAATATTTTTGGAAATTGCAGGTAACTTCTTAAATCTGGTGGCAAGGATAGGTACAAATGGGCAAAAAACATACAGTGACTGGCCACTTTATTAAGTACAATAGTATATACAGCAGTAGTGCTATTGCTGGTTTCTGCCCCCCAGAATTCTTTGTGGCAAAGATACTGAAAACATTCCTCACAGATTTTGGTTTATATTGACATGACAGCATCATGCAGTTGCTGCAGATTTGTCAGTTTCACATCCATGATGTGAATCTCCTGTTCTACCACATCCCAAAGGTACTCTTTTGTGTCAAGATCTGGTGACTGCCAATTTGCGTGCAGTCATTTTTAACAAGAAACTAGTTTGAGATGATCTGAGCTTTATGACATGCCACATTATCCTGCTTGAAGCAGCCATGAGAAGATGGGTGCACTCTGATCATAAAGGGATTGACATTTAAGCTCTGGTATTTAAACAATGCTCAGCTGGTACTAAGGACACCTAAGTGTGCTGAGTTTTTAAAAAATATATATTTTCCTGCATTTAATTTTGTTAAGTCTGCAATTTGTTTTAAGGTTCGAACATTGTTGTGCATTCTGATATGTTCTTATACATACCGTGGTTGTATGGAGTGGATATTTGTGTTACTGTTGCCTTTCCATCAGCTTGGCACAATCTGGCCATTTTCCTTTGGCCTCTGGCATTAGCAAATCATTTTTACCCGGAATATTTTCTCTTTTTCACACCATTCTCTGTAAACCCTAGAGATGATTGTGAGGCAAAATGCAGCGTTGCTGCCATCTGAACGACTTATTAGATATTTGCTTTAATGAGTAGCTGAATAGGTGTACCTAATAAAGTAGCCAGCGAGTGTAATTACCCACATGAGCAGACAAGTACAATTCAGTTTGAAAGATTTGCAGTTTATCAAGGCTTTAGATGAAATTATGACTGAAATTTAACACAAAATATCTGTAATAAGCTATTATTACACATAAAAAAGCTCTGTGTGCACGTCTGTGATACTTATAGTAGGCTACAGTTTAATTTTAGGAAGGTAATTCTTAATTTCCCATGGTATGTTTTTAATTTCCAATTTTCACTCACTTTTGAAATGGCTGACAAAGAGTAAAGTATCTTAGTGTTTTAGCACTGCTGCCTTACGCACAAAAGTAATTTCTCCTGTCATTGTGCCCTTTATAAAGGCACTGGCTTGGGACAACCAGGCCTCTGTTGGTAGCTCTTTGTGTTTAAGTAAAACGCAAAGATGGAGTTTTCATACAGACATCAGAAAGAAATACACCCTTATCCTTCTTCATCCTCAACTTCGTATCTGTAAACATCTGTCTATCTCCAACTATTCAAGCTGGAGCTACTGAATGTTCAGAGGAAGGGTACATGCTAGAAAGGTTACCAGTCTATCACAAGCTAACAAAGAGAGACAGAGAATCATTCACACTCACCCTCACACCTAAAGCCAATTTAGAATCACAAATTAACTTAACCTGACCTAACGCTAGCTGGAGTAACTACACAGGCACAAGGAGCACAAGGAAGACAGGTAGACTCCAGTCAACCAGGAGCATCAAAGCAAAATCCTGTTTGCTGCCTGGTCATAATCCTGCAAAACTGTGGTGCCAGAATTTTGCTGTCTTAGTTCCCAAATTACAATAGAATTAAATTGTATGACACCACTATTTCCTTTCAACCTGTTGGGTTTTTTATTTATTCCTGCACTTCCTTCGTTTTATGTAAATAAACCAAACACCAAAAACTTTGCTTTCTTATGGTATCTTCATCGGTCAATTTAATTCTATACTCAACTGCTTGTGTTCCACAGGCACACATATGTTCTCCTGTTTGACCTTGTCTAAAGGTTCTGCCACGCATGTATTCCTTTTGCTGCTGCTGTTAGTAAGAATTTCAATTCCAGTGTGATTAGTTTAGAGCACATTTGCCAGTGTGCAGAATTGGCAGCCTGTGAGATAATTTAACTGTGACAATGCTGAAGTGTAATGTAATTAGTTTTTAGGGTGTGAGTAACATTTTAAACCCAATCAACAGCTCAGAACTCTTAATCAAATCACCCCACAAGCTGTGTAAGAATGTTTACATGGGGGATCTTTACATAAAAAAGCAAAAGAGTAGAATGAGAATTTTACATATGCTAATAAAACTGTTTCTGCCTTGTGAAACCATCATTGCGAACAGCTGGTAAAACTAACTCAATGTACTTTTGAGAACTATTTAGCTCTTAATGTGTATGTGTTCCAGATATGCTCTAAAACCATATTCTAGAAAGCATTTATATTTCTGACATTTAGTTGGCTCCCCTATCTAGAGAGGTACACAGCACAACCGAGCAGCAATTTAGTGTCTCATTTATGACTATTTCAAGAAGACACTTAAGCTGTGATGGCCACACACTGACTAATGAAGTAGCACATTAACTTTCTGCAACAGTATGCTGATTGTTATTGTTCTGTAAGCAGGATCAGTATGAAACATTTACTGGCTATTATTGTATGTGTTTGCATGTATTTACTCATAGTTCACTGATGATTTAAAGGCAAGTTAGTGTGCAAAATGTCTTCTGTGTTCTGCATTGTTTTATTCTATATTTTTGAAACTATGTTTGTAATAACTTTAAAAGCAGATGTATGCAGAATTTCAAGACATTTAGCATTGGCATGTTTTGGTTGAATAAAAATAATAATTAGAAATTAGTTAACTGTGCATCCACTTGGGAAAAAACGACCAAAACACAAAGCAATTAATATCAAATATTCTTGTTCAGTTCTTACTTGAAAAATCAGCAGGGTCACATCTACTCTAGCCTTTTCCTATTTCTAAGGAACTTCCCAGCACAGAAAGCAGAAAGAGATGTCAGACATGACCACACTGCTGTCAAATGTGTGACTACAAGTTTCAGCTAAACCATATTTCTATTGACTAATCCTGTATTTCAAGGGGCGTTTGATGTTTTAGAATATAAGCCCTTTCTTCCCATCTTTTGGGCTCTAAATAATTGACAGGGACAATAATGTTTGGTTGGTCCAAACATTTTTGATCTTGTTAATAATTTAGACCAAACATGGGGAAATATTAAAAAATAATACCAATGTCTTTCCTTAAAATCATGAGGTAACAGTCTCCACCGCCAAGCAAGTGTGCTGCCTCCAGGCTACATTGTGTAGAGTGAAAAATTCAACACTCCTCTGGTTCAAGAAAGGCGAACTCCAAGATCCACATCTAAGCACAGCACATAGGAGGAGGATATGAACTCAGTGTTATAAGTTCGCAAGTAATGAATGTGTGCATTGGCATATGTGCTGTTTTTTTGT